GACTGTCTGACTTATTTTCATTGGTGGACAGACGGACAAGACTGACAGATCAACAGACAGACTGACAGATCGACAGACAGACTGACAGATCGACAGACAAACCAATTGACTGACAGGAAGACAGACAGACAGAATGGCAGACAGACTGTATGATCGAATGAATGTGACGGAGAGGCTGGTAATGACTGACAATCTGACGAAATGTGACTGACTTTTTTTTTTTTTTTTCAACCGACGAATTGTACTGGTGATTCAGAATAGATAATATATGTTTGTGTGTATGTGTGTACATGTAGATGAGAAAACTTTACTTGGGACTTTTAGAAATTCTAGTCGAATTTCAAGGATGTGTGTGTGTGTGTGTGTGTGTGTGTGTGTGTGTGTGTGTGTGTTTGTGTGTGTGTGTGTGTGTGTACATGTAGATGGGAATTTGGCAGATCAGAAAATAGGAGATAAAATTGTGAGTTTATTTTTCCAAATTTGAGAAGCTGAAATTATAACTGTGTAAGCATTAGATTAGAGCAAGAATATAGGAAATTAGAAGATACAATCAGCAAAATCAATTTGAAAAGGCAGCCGACACGAAGAGCGCCACACATGTTCGCACGAAATTCTCCCTGCTCCATCGCCGCTGTCATTATTGCGCCGCTACCTGCTTCCGTATCTTTGGCCGGTGAACCAGCTCAAACGAACACTGGAAACCGCCAGCTCTTTTTGACGCTCCAGCTTGTAACAAGCCTCCCTCCTCCCACTCCGCATGAGAAGATGCTCCTCACTTTCTGCCCGCGCTGCCCAACCAACCTCCACTCGATTCGTGCAAGAGCATAGGAGCAGGGCCACTATCATGCCCAAAATCTCATGAAGACTATCCTAATCACCCCGACAGCCTCCCCTTCCTCTAGTGCGTCAACCCACGACACCACATAAACGAAGCACGGAGCAAGAGACCTCTTCAGCCGAAGCATCACGTCAATGGCCACGCCAGACAAAACCAACGGAACCTCGAGCCATCGCCTGCCGCCGTAATCCCCACTGCCCACATCAACTCCTCGATATTCCTCGCAGGGGGTCGTGCCGACAAGGCGTCACCAACTCACGAACCGGCCCATGTCGATAGCGGAGCGGCGCGGCGCTCCCGGTTGCGCCGCACCGCTGAGACTCCTGTAACTGACTGTGAGTCTTGTACTGACTGAATGTGGCTGATGGGACTGACTGACTAACAGACTGACTGAGTGACTAACCGACTGACTGACTGTGACTGGCCGACTGATGACAGGTTGACTGAGTGACTAACGGATTGACTCAGTGACTAACGGATTGACAGAGTGACTAACCGACTGACTGACTGCAATTGGCCCGACTGATGACAGGTTGACTGAGTGACTAACGGACTGACTCAGTGACTAACCGACTGACTGCCTGTGAGTGGCCAGACTGATGAGAGGTTTACTGAGTGACTGACGGATTGACTCAGTGACTAACGGAGTGACTGACTGTGATTGGTCGACCGATGACAAGTCGACTGAGTGACTAACGGATTGACTGAGTGACTAACGGATTGACTCAGTGACTGACGGATTGACCGAGTTACTAACCGACTGCCTGACTGTGAATGACCGACTGAAGACGAGTTAACTGAGTGACTAACGGATTGACTCAGTGACTAACGCATTGACTCCGTTACTAACGGATTGACTGAGCGACACGGACTGACTGATTGACTGACCGACTGACTGGCTTAGTGGCTTAGTGGCTGGCTGACCGACTAACGGATTGATTGCAACGATCCCTTCCGACTGTTGTTGCGGTGTCACTACCGCTTGCCCGACCCCCATGTCTGCTACTGCAGCTGGGGCCACTATCTTGCTGACTCGGAGAGTGCTACTCGATGGAAACGAGGGTGGAGAGATGGTGCCTGAATGGAACGACCGTGAAGAGGAAGGCAGCGGAGAGCCAGTGAATGGAGGCATCACCACTGTAGCAGCCAGAAAGGGAGACAAGAACTATGGAAAAGAAAAGAAGACGAAGAAAATAAAATTTTATTTCCACCCCATCCTCACCTAGCTACCGGACAGCCCTGGAAGTAAAAAATGGGCATAACCCAGGAAATCTGGCAGGCGAGGATGGACAAGGGCCAGTGCCTGAAGTGCCTGCCACACGGATGGGCACATCATAATATGGTGTCCCCAGATTTGGAACCCAAAACTATTCCGGTCTGAATACAGTCATGATGCTGGGGAATTGTTTTCGGAGAAAGATGATAGTACACCAAACTGCCCGCACGTTACTATATGACTGGCCTGTTTATCGTCAGCAGATAGTCTGCTCTGCAGCCTGCAGTTAGTATTATAGTCTAAAACTTAGTTTGCAATTGCCATGCAGCTAGTCTGCAGTCTGCAGCTATAGTCTAAATTTAGTTTGCAATTACTTTGCAGTTAGCCTCTGCAGTTAGTCTAAATTTAGTTTGCTATTGCTTTGCAGATAGTCTACTTTATCTGAAGTCTGCAGTTATAGTCCAAATTTAGTTTGCCGTTACTTTGCAGATAGCCTATGCAGTTAGTCTTATATTTAGTTTGCCCTTACTTTGCAGATAGTCTGCAGATATCCTTATCGCCGTGCAGCATACAAGTTTTTCCCCCTTCGTCTCCACCCCCCCAACCCCTCTAACCCCTGTCTCTTATACACATCTAGATGTGTATAAGAGACAGGAACACACACATGCTATGTGCTATGTGTGTGGACGTCCACTCTTCAGCGCCCCCCCTACTCACACACGCACATGCTATGTGTGTGGACGTCCACTCTTCAGCCTTTGGCGCTACTTACCACATACACCAAAGACAAAAATTATTGGGATGTATCTTCCAATCTGCAGGCTTAAAATACATTCTCATTTTCCACATTTGGTGAGGTGGAGCACTGGCACTGTACAAACGTATCCGACACAGAAACATTAAGGGCATACTCACACACGGTGAGCAAAGTTGCAAAATCTGCCCTCAGGGCATACTCACACGGCGACCCCAAATCCGCAAAATATGCGGATTTGGGAAGGGCCGATTTGAGGTTTTGGGCATGGTTCACGTCACACTGCTGTACCTTTTCAGATGGGACAAGGTCGCGGCCGTCTGGAGAAATGGGGATATAGGGGCTCGTTCGACACTCCTTGGGGCGTCCTCGGGGCCGAAGGAAGTTTCCTTGGGGGTTTTCAAGGAAATTCCTGCCATCGTTCCACCTGTCCTCGGGGACATCGCCCAAGGACATTTCCTTCGAACCATGTCAGACAAGAAAAAAGAAAAGAAAAAAAAAATCAAATGTGTTTGAGGCCTTCAGCCAATAGGGTGCCGCCCCAATCCAGATTCTTGGTTGTAACGTCTCTCTACCCATGTGCCCGCTCCTCTCCAGCGGATTCCTTTTGCACAAGGGACCTCGTGAGGTCCCTTGGGCAAAAAGAAGAAATGGCTGGGGAATCCTCGGAGCCCAAGGAGTTTCCTTCGGAGTGTTTTCATTTTTTTTATCCCCGACCGCATCCCCGAGGATAGGTGGAATGAACAATTCCTCAGGGAGTTCACGCGCCCGAGGAGTGTCGAACGAGCCTCTTGGTACTTGGCTGGTCACACGGCGCCATCCACCAATTGTGCAAGAACTTTTGTGAACGAATTTTTGTCAATTTTTGAAGAAAATGCAAAAAAAAAAAGGGAATTTGCGGTCACCTCCAGAGGTGACGACAAAATCCCTTGCCCCGCGGCCTCCCAGGCCGCTGACAAATGGGCACTGGAATAGTACATTTGCGAATCTGATAGATCCGTGTGACCGGCCTTTTCCCCTTTTCTTTGGGACTTTGGGATTATAGGTCCCCGTGTGAGTATGTCCTCACAGTCAGAATACGTGCAGGGGCAGTCTGTTCAGACTTACACATTTCTTTACCTTTTTTTCTTTCTTTCTTTCTTTCTTTCTTTCTTTCTTTTTTTTTTTTTTTTTTTTTTTTTTTATCCCCCGGAGGGGAGGTGGGCTGCGCCACACTCTGCTGCAGTGCAATACAGAGGCAACGCTGGAGGGGTCGAGCAGGCAAGCCTACCCATATGGCCCTTACCTATTTCCAAACCTGTTTTCATTCCTGACCCCTCAAAACACCAGCCAAGAATGAATGAAAACCCCTTCAGCGATGAGAAAGATTACCTCGCACAGTTGATGGCCAATGAGGGTGTGAGAAAGATCTAGGGTCCTGCTATTTGCCCTACAACAAAATTAGGACCGTTCGACTCCTTCGCCGCCTGGGGCTCAAAAGCCTGTCACACACACGAACGGTCCTCGTTCCTATACTTTCCCGACAGGTAGTGTGGGACTTGGCCACCCGAGGATTCGTGGGGTCACCTGACCGACGCTTCGGACCCATGGAAAGCTGACAAAATGCGTACCTACACCGCTAGTTCATTCGGACTACACTACGTGTAGAGGACTCGAACAGCCAGCTTTCAAGTTGAAGGACACTTCCGACGCCCTCACTGGGGGGGAAGAGGCTAGGGGATGCATCTTTCTAGAGCGAAACGCTAAGATTGGGATGCTCCTATCACCCCGCCATAGTGGAAGCCCAGTCCCGAAGTCGGTTTATAAAGGGAAAAAAAAAACAAAAGACTGCTTCCCGCATGCGCTGTTCCCCACCGCAGACCGTGATTCGGTCAGCTCTCTTATTGGGCCTCGCTGCACTACTCTCGACATGCACAACAGACAAAAATCATGACCGTGCATCTTTCCATATTGTAGCGGAAGATTCACTTCGTTTTGCACATTTCGAGAGTAGTGCAGCGAGGCCCATTGCCGCCGAATCAAAGCCTGCATTGATGTTGGAGAAGATAAACAGAAAGCTCGAAACCAGAAAACTGAGCCTACGCAGGTGGGGGCAAACAGCCCTCACGAATCAGGAAGTATAAATATAGCACCCTCCGAGAGGACAGGTACAGAAGAGCTCTCACACGTTTTCTGCCCTTCCTCTAACCGAGTGCCGGAATCGATTGCCATCGCTCAGACCCTACCAAACACCGGAGGAAGGAAGGAAGGAAGGAAGGAAGGAAGGAAAATGGCACACGTTGGCAAGTACGCGGACGAGCTCATCGCCACGGCGAAGAAAATTGCGACCCCTGGGAGGGGTATTCTCGCCGCTGACGAGAGCACGGGCACCATTGGGAAGAGACTGGCCAGCATCAACGTGGAGAATGTGGAATCCAACAGGAGGGCTCTGAGGGAGCTTCTCTTCACCGCTCCYGGGGCGATGCAGTACATCAGCGGCGTCATTCTGTTCGAGGAGACGCTCTACCAGAAGACGGCAGACGGGAAGCCTTTCGTCGATSTCCTCAAGGAGGCCGATGTGGTGCCYGGCATCAAGGTCGACACCGGCGTTGCGGCCCTGGCAGGCACGAAGGGCGAGACCACGACGCAAGGSCACGACGGAYTGGGCGCCAGGTGYGCCAAGTACTACCAGGCGGGCGCGCGGTTCGCCAAGTGGCGCGCTGTCCTGAAGATCAGCGCAGACGGATGCCCTACGCCGCTGGCAATCCAGTCCAACGCGGATGGGCTGGCCAGGTACGCGTCCATCTGCCAGGAGAACGGGCTGGTGCCGATYGTGGAGCCGGAGATCCTGATCGACGGCACGCACGACATCGAGAAGAGCGCGGCGGTGACGGAGAAGGTGCTGGCGGCGGTGTACAAGGCTCTGAGCGACCACCACGTGCTKCTGGAGGGCACGCTGCTGAAGCCGAACATGGTCACGCCSGGATCGGACGCTGCGAAGGTGGCGCCGGAGGTGGTGGGCAAGTACACGGTGAGGACGTTGCAGAGGACGGTTCCCGCGGCCGTTCCCGGGATCATGTTYCTGTCGGGCGGGCAGAGCGAGGAGGAGGCGACCCTGAATCTGAACGCGATGAACGCTTTGGAGGCGACGAAGCCATGGACGCTGTCMTTCTCGTACGGGAGGGCGCTGCAGGCGAGCACGCTCAAGGCGTGGGGAGGCAAGGTGGAGAACGTTGCGGCGGCCCAGAAGGCGTTCTTTGTGCGCGCCAAGGGCAACGGGGAGGCGACGCTCGGGAAATACAGTGGCGCTCCCGCGATCGAGGGAGCGTTAGAGAGTCTGCACGTTAAGGACTACAAATACTGAAGTGTGGGCGGGATTCATTGCTAGTTACTGTATAGGAATCTGCATCGGCGACTTCCGAGCCTCGTGTGGAGGCAGGCGGTTGATCGCATATGCGATCGTAGAATAGAACAGTAGGTGATGCATAGCCAGACTTTCTCTGCGTTTGCTTCGAGTGAGAGAGTGTTAGGTCTATATTAGGAGGTAGGGTCTGGTTCACACAGCAGCTCGTAGTCTCAACGGCTGTTGCATCCGTAGTTTGCCTTTGTGCATTTGGTTGAAGACGAGTTTGCCGGCAGTCGGACGGTTTCATTCCATTGGGGTTTAACGGTTTATCGATTAATTGATTTGAATTTGGATCCGTGATAATTTTTGTTCTTTCCGGATTGGCGATCAGTGTTTTGTGTGGTGACGAATGTTACTCGGTCGTCTGTACGTTTGGAAGATGAGCTGGAACTCGGGATGATTCGGACTGTTCTATGTCGGAGTGAGTGGTTCTTGTGCTTCCGTCTCCTTTTCCCATGTGGTCGCCGCTGCCTTGAAGTCGTTTGCCGTTGTCCGGCAGTGTTCTCCATTATGAGTACTAGTAATTTGTTTTTCTCTGCTGAATTGTCAATGGCGGGGGCCTATTCAAGCGGTTTGTTTTCTCTGCTTGCCGTCATTATCAAGGTACAGTAACGGATGTGAAACAGGCTTCAGCTCATGAACTGCTGTGTTTTTTTGCTTGCCTGTGTGTCTGTGTGATGGGGGGGGGGGGGAACGTACTTTCCTGTACTTTTGTGTGCGAGAGAGAGAGAGAGAGAGAGAGAGAGAGAGAGAGAGAGAGAGAGAGGCCGTGGCGGGGATAGGGGTTAAAACGGATCCCTTCACGTGACATCATTGCCTTGTTCTGCACGTATTTGTTGACCGATGAGCTACTGGATTGGTGAAGTGGGTTTTTAACAAGTTGTCATGTCCGCATCCTCGTACTGATCAGCATTCGGGCAATCTCGGCTGATACGGGGAATGTAACCAATACTCGTGCGAGCTCGTCGTTTTTTGTTTGTGGACGAGAACACCCGTAGGAAGTCCCACGACTAGCGTTTTCCCCCGAACACAACGCACCCTGGTAATGAATGTATACGAGCTATCTTTCCGGTCCTGTACAGCCATATTCAGGGTGCGTCGTGTTCGAGTAAAAAAAACGACCCTAGACATTCGTTCTTCGCTTTACCCTACCTCCACACCATTGATTACCCTGAACCCAGGGGACTGACTGGGTAGACTTGTATCATCTTTTCCGGTTTACCAGCTGACGCCCCTGGCGCAATCTTCCATGATACCCTTTGCTTACACTCGTTCCCTTAGCAGTAAGGCCTTTTGCGCCCGAATTTTTTCCCTTCCCCCGAGCAACTCAGAACTGAAATAAGAACCCAATAATCTCGCGAGCCTCGGTCTTCGAGCCTATGATTTTCGAGAATTCCTAGGCAGCTGCTGTTGAAGAGGCAGACCGTGGGGAGCTTCAGCACCTGGGGTCCTGCTTGATGATGACGTGGTAAGATTCTGCGGGTGACGGGATTGGACGTGGCATGGAACAGGCGAGACAGAAGGGTGTGCTCCGAGGCCTAGTGCACGGAGGTGATGTGGGGAGCGAACCCGACACTGCAGGCCTTAGGATTCGTTAGGAAACATAAAGAGGGGGGGATGCATACAGGAACCGATTGGACGAGGCTCGGGAGATAGAGATTGCAGCAGCATATCCTGGCAAAAAAATTCGGGCAAACGAAAGAGCGAATGAACAGAACTGGCTTTGCCGTGGTGAAAGTGACTACGGTTTAAAACGGAGAGAGAGCCTGAGGAAGAAAAGAAAGTAACCAAGGTTAGAGAACAGTTTCGCAGAGGAGAACGAATTCCAATGATCAACGGATGGCGTCAACGAATTCAGGGAATTCAGACGCAAGTCCTCGTCCGTCATTGTGGGAAGGGGTTGGCGAGGCTCGAGCCATCAGAGGAAACTGGAGAAAGGGAGTAAGGAGTTTGGAGCACCAAGAAGGGGGAGGGGGGGGGGGGGGCGGGGAGGAATTTCTCTTTTAGAATGAAGGTAGACGGCCTTGCGTATTCATCTTTGGATGGGCCTGCCCCAGGTAAATTCAGAGTTGTTCTTACTTGTCTGCTTCCATTGGAATCGAAGCGGGGCTCTGTTTCTAACAGTTCATGTTTTTTTTGGGCAAATTGCAGACATACCTGTTCAGAGAAGTATCGTAGCAAAAATGTCGGTCTGTTCGTGTATTATTATTATTATTATTATTATTATACTCTCTATATTCTTCTCTGAACTTTGTTGATTTGCCTTTCACTACCTATTCCTAGGGTTATCTAGAGGGGACCCCTGCAAGCATAGTTCCCTCTCACTGTGAAGGGGAGATTTCATGTTGCCCCTTGCCCCTGACAAATGTGCCTGTAAAGTTTTTTTTTTTTTTTTGTTCTTAACTCGAAGGCAAAATTTTCGATATGCCCCTGAAAGCTCCATTTATTTGCGGCATGCCCGTCTGACGGCCGACTTACCTTGTCGCGCCCCTCTGACAATGATTGAAGTTTCCTGAAAACCCGTGGCGTTGTTTGGGCCTGAACTATGTTCAATATACCCCTATCGGTACCGGTTCCAAATTTCGAGTACGCTCGAGTAGATCCTCTTCGAGGGCCAGGGGAACGGCCGCGAGTGCCACCAACGGCCACTGGGGCATGCTCGAAAGTTGCGCCTCTCACTTACAGGGGCCGGCAGGGAAGTGTCGAGGCACCAGGGGCACAACAGGGTAAGTCGGCCGTTGGAGAGGGACGCGGCAAATAAATCGAACTTTCAAGGGCATTTCACAAATTTTCCCTAACTTGAATCCGTTCAATTATAAAGCCAACTTGAGGCCGGGAACCTCACAATTTGCCCCGGAGGTCTGGCAGCATCAGCCAGCTTAGTTTACAGGTCTTGTACCTGCAGAGAGGCCTCATCCCACCAAACTCACGATAAGTAAAAAATGATTTTTTTTGCATTTTTTTGGTATCCCACCAGTTTCCTTGAACCCCGGGGCCTCCGCGGTGAACGGAGGCATGTTCAAACGGTTCACGACGTGGCGGTCGTGGAGGGAACTTCGGGAGCTCCGTTTTCCGTTTTCGTAAAATCGACGGGCCCTTACCCTTACGCGAACTTACCGTAAGTTCTTTTAATTAATTTTTTTTTTTTTCTTTTGTCCGGCGTGGCCAGAACGGCCAACAAAGGCCCCCGCCACTCACGTAAAATTCCCTTCAATGTCGGGACAGTGGAGTGCCATTTTACTTACCTAATGCGAAACCCGCGGACCGGGCTTTTACGTATCTGTCGGACTCTTACTTACGGTGAGTATGGTGGGATGAGGCCCAAAGTTCCCTCTTCATCCACATTCACTTACCTTATATAAGGTTGTACTACAAAGTACTAGGTAACTGTCAAACTTGAAACATACTATTCCAGAGTATTACTTCCTAGTCTATCCTATTCCTGCTGCTATGCCTCATCTACCTGCTACCTGCTACTGCTACTTAGCCTACATAACTAATGCACAGGCCTTTTTNCTGCTGCTATGCCTCATCTACCTGCTACCTGCTACTGCTACTTAGCCTACATAACTAATGCACAGGCCTTTTTCGGCCTGACACCGACCTACTTCGACGGATTGGAACTGTGTTACGTCCGGACTGTGACACTCTTCACCCTCCGCCCCTGTTGGCCTACTTCGGTCCAGAAGAGAGAAATAATCGAGTGCCCTGGTATTTCCTAGTCTCTATCTGGTCGGCCTCCTATTCCCTACCTCTGTCTGCCTCACAGTCCCACTATCTTGTAACCAACGTGAGATTACCAGGCCAGGTTCCGTGTGCACGGCTGCTAACTGGTTACCCCGAGACCAAGTGTGAAGAAACCAGAACAGCTGTTTTCCTTTCCTCTTCCCCATCTTCACTTTCCTTCTCCAGTCCACTCTGATGGCCTGTCTCACACCTGATTTTACTGTGTGCTGTGCCGGCAAAGTTGCAGAACTGCCGTTTTTCAAAAACGTTTTTCAGAAGTTTGGAAGGCAAATACACCGGAGGTACCTCCTTTTGCAACAGAAGGACCCGCCTGCCTTGGAGTGCTTGCCTGAGGCCAGGCGGACGGGGTCTGGGTATGTGTCAGCAAAGACGGTACCCCCGGTAAACCTGCTTCGAAACTTCGTGAAAACGCTATTTCTGCAACTTTCCAGGTATATTTGTGGCCATACAGGGATGGACCGGTATACTTGCCCGCCCGTTTTTTTTTCCTTCTTTTCCCGTCGAGTTCATGGGTGTGCCAACTCAGCTGAGCTGAATTTTCCCCAAGGTGAGCATCTGCTGGTTTTCCCTTTATGGCAGTTTATGCCCAGTTCCAGATCCTAGCTTCCGTATATACCCGGGGTCTAGGTGGGCCCAGGGTTATACACAAACACTGTCACATTCAAATAATCGACATACTCGGACAAATTATGTGGATAGCCAGTTTTGCCTGACCGGTTTAGGCCAGTGGGGATGAGCGTTATTGGGTGCATCGGGACCCGTACAGGTATAAATTAGGACATGGGAAAAGTGGGGTATTACAGGGTTAGCGTATTATTAGTGAACGAAGAGACTCGGAGAAGAATATAGTGTTCTCAGAACAAATAAAGAACGGAAAGATGCATTTTGCCCCTGGGACTGGGCATAAAGGGAATTCTCGGTTACAGATGCAATTTCCACAAAAAAAATGAAAACCTCAATTCCGCCAGCTCTTCCGTGTATGAGGTCCCTCCTCCCTCTCATGTGCGTCTGTAAGGAGGGACCGCTCTTCCGTGTTTGAGGTCCCTCCTCCCTCTCTCAGATGTGTGGTGTATGATGGGGTGTCGTGTCAGTATCTGACAGGTCAGGTCATATCTTTGAGTCTTCCGTTGCGCTACATTGTGCTATTTTCATATGTATCTGGATGTACATTGCTTGTTGATGCTTGGCTGACGCTGCATTGTCCATACGTAGAGTCCTTTCCATTACTTATCGGATCCTTGGCTTCCCATACATTGCCCGATTGGGCATGTATCATAGGTTCTGAAGCCCAGTTGATTAGGTATTCGCATCAAAACCTGTGTACAATGATGATGTGGATGGATCATGTGAAATGTTTTGTTTTGTAAATACATGCACTGAGTGACTGAAATAAATGGAAGATGTTACCTGCACCACTTTGGAGGCCGCAGACTTTTTTTTTTGCAAGGGCACCCCACACCACGCGGCCCCTCTTGAGTTGTGCTTGTGGCGACAAAAAAACGTTCTGCAAGGCTGGGGCCGTGTACTTGCGGCTTAAACCACAAGTACCTTTCCCATGTCTTGGCGGCAGGCAGTTTCGGAGGCCCGAAATTAATAATGAGCTGCTGAATCAGTGCAGACGAAACTCATCAATGGCGGCTCTCTACCGCTTCGCTTCTGAATGGCGGCTCTCTCCTGCTTCGCTTCTGAATATAATATTGGTGCGACTTCGATTTCCAAGCGGGGAAAGGTTCTGGTGGTCTTAAGAGTTCTGAACGACTTATTTTGTATAGGATATACTCTTGCAGGGTAGGTACTCTCTTGCCTTGAAGTTCTGCGGAAGGTGCGGGGAATGAGGCAGGATGGTTCGACTGTCTACGTCGTTTCCGGCTTAAAGTTGGGAAGTGTTTGTAACTTGGAAGGATGGTGAAACCCAACACATCTTTCTTTTCTTTTTTTTTCCTTTCTTCTTGTGAGGATGTTTGGTTTTGTTTTTCTACAGTAACTGCTGGTGTGTGCTGAGGACTTTGTGAAGGATTGGGGAAGTTCGGGCCAGCCTGAGGGTGAAATGCACACACCTGTGGTGCTTTTTCGAATGTTAGGAACAGGGGGTGTTGTTGCCTCTCTCTCTCTCCTTAGGGCACCACTGACCAAATTTAACAAAAGTAATGTTTTGGACCCTGCTCTGTCCAGATACATTGAAAATGTTGGTGTTTGGCAAGTGGTGTGGTGAGCTCCTCAGTCGTCGTATTTGAACTTGCGCTGCAGAATGTCTAAATGCCTGTGTATCACAAGGCTGTCAAAAGTGTATTGTTCCCCTTTTTGCATGGTTGGGGTGGGGCAAGGAATGTGCCTGCAGTAGATGAAAATGAAAAGTTCTGACGGTCCTCTTACCTCCGCCAGGATAGAGACATATCGCAAGGGATATTTTTGCACCAAAAAAAAAAAAAAAAAAAAAGAGAAAAGAAAAGAAAAGTCTATGATTAGTTTGCTATGTGTGGTGAAGTGGCTATTTTTTCACAGATCTCTATGCTTTGATAGGAACTGGAAGTTTTGAAACTAATTGGTGTACTGTACCATAATGAAGTTACCTTTCATTCATTTTTTGTATCCTCAAGTTTATAAAGGGAACTAAGGGGTCCTCAATATTGAAATCGAAATGAAATTATACTAGAGAAACAAGGCCAAAAAAAAAAAAAAAACATGTCATATTACGTTTCATTTTTTGTATCCTGAAGTTTATAAAGGGAACTAAGGGCCTTTGATATCGAAATCTCGAAATGAAATTATATTCAAGAAACAAGGCCCCCCCCAAAAAAAAACATGTCATATTTCCAATTGAATAAGTTGGAAAAAACTTCAAAAAAGTGCACTATTTCAGTGCATGCCAGTTGTTGAAGTGGTGTGATTTTGGGGTTTGGGGTTTGAAGTTTGGGCTCCTATTTAGTCTTCAGGACCCTCTGGACCACCACCATGATGTCATGATGTCAGTGCATTTTGATTAAACGAAAACAGAACTGAGAGAGTTGCAAGACCAAGGACATGTGTTAAAAAAAAAAAAAAAAAAAAGACCAAGGACATGTGGCTGAAGGATACACACAATGTCATGTAACTGCTGGTGAAGAGATGACCTGTTCGAGCACTTATGGAATCCGATCGATAGCACAAAAAATCTGATCGATGGATCAAAATATTGAAACAATGGCTTTTTTCACGCATCCGAGTTTTAGTTATGGACACAATCATTGATGTTCGCATCGAATTGAGAGTGGTTGCAGTATCAAGTAAGTGTGGGTGAGTGATGCAGACATCACATCGAACTGTTAACGAATGCACTGTGAGCACGCATGTGATTTCTGATGGAATCGCATGGGTGAGTGACACAAATACACACGCACACACACACACACACACACACACACACATACATGTGCGCGTGCACACACACACACACACACACACACACACACACACACACCCACACACACATCTGGAACTGTTAACAAACGCAACTTGGAAAATGGTGAACATGCTAGAGTCCGGATGGGATCATAGGGATACAAGAAAGCGGCCGTGGAAGTATGTCAGGAATTGTCAGACTGAATATGATAAAGTGTGTCTTGTTTACAGTTCGTGATGGATTCAACACGCCATCACACCGTTGGAAGTGTGGTAGAATTATACGGCCTCTTCTAATCGACGATTGTTAGTGGTAGTAGTTTTAGTGACACATAATTTGTAATACATGCAGAGACAGGAGTAGAAGTATTCATCATATGGATGTAGTGAAGGTAGTAGTTTTTAGAGATAGAAGTAGGAATGATAGTATGGATGTATAGCAGAGTAGTAGTATATGCGGAGACAGTTAAGTACTACTAATTAGAGGTAGAGTAGAAGTAATACTAGTACTAGTGAAAACAGATTCGCTGTGTGCTATCGTAATCCGGTTTCCTTCTTTTTTTTTTTTAATTATTATTATTATTTTTTTATGAGACGATGCTCCAATCTATTCGTGGGGAGCAACACGGCTGGGAACCGGGCGTAAGCGGGTTTCCTAAGATAGCCTGATCTGCATTTGCTATCCGATGACAAAAGCAGCCGTTCCTGAACCCAACTGCAATGATGCTTGGTATAGTACCTCAGTGGAAGAAACCAGGGCGACCGCACTTCTGCAAGGTTGGAGCTGGCTATGTGTGAAAACGGGAAGTAAACCCCCCCCCAAAAAAAAAGAAAAAAAAGAAAACGGGAAGTACCACTGCCGTTGGTCGTTTTGATCCAGGCAGAGTACACATTGAATCTCACCCCGTAAGTACTGAACATTTCCAGTGAGCGCGGAGCCTTTTTGGGTGGGCCTTTTGTCTGGCGCACACCTTGCTCACTGTCACCTTGTCTCTCTTTCCGATTTCTGCTGCCCGCCCACATTTACGGTGAGCAAGGCGTGCGCCAGACAAAAGCCCAACCCAAACAAGTGCACCCCTTCAGTAGAGTACCTATCGGGAAAAACATAGACAATCTGCAGAGAACTTTTAGTACCTTTTGAACCAGGAATAACCCTAGTGTAGCTATGGCTTTCCACGGCTAGTCGTAGAGCCCCGCGCCGCCCAGTGCACATGTTACGATGGCCATGTTTTACCATGGCCATTTCCACAGAGAAAGAAAGTGGTTTGTTATGTGTGTGAGTTTCAAAGAGGAAACATTGTCTGTGACACAGTTGGTAGTTTGGAATAGGCAATGAAAGACAAATTTAAGTGGTTTGTTATGTGTGTGAGTTTCAAAATACGGAACTTCAGCGGGGTCTAAAACTGCGCCAGTCGTTACCCGCAGTGGGTGCCTTTTCTGCTCCATCTTGAGAAAGAAAACAGGTTTGGCAATCTGTGATCTGTCACACCACCAGTGCCTTTCCGGCTTGAAAAACAATTCCGCGGTGGCGTACACCGAAGGCTTTCAACGGTTTGGGCATTGGAACGTATGTGCCTGGGGGTCATGCTTGATGTTCTACCAGCCAGGGATAACGGGTTGGGCCCCCAAGCCAGGATTGGCAGGACCTTGGCCAATATCGTTGGTTGCTATGCAGCAACTATATCGGCCAGAAGACACCGCTAAAATGTGGGGTTGGGGTGGGGGTGGGGCGAGTAGAGGGGGGGGAATTCAGTGACTGGCCAGATGCTTGGCACTAGTACCGCCGGTTCCCCCATCGGCAATGCCTGCCCACCTCGTGGCATCAGCCAAAATGAGGCCAGTGCCGGTTTGCTTTATCTCGAGGGTGTCAGTTGGTTATTGCTTGAGTGCGACCTTTTGCAGGCAGATGCCAGAACCGAGCCCCGAAATGAAACCCCTCTGTGAGATTGTCTCATGCGGAGTCGAGCGTGACGTGCCCAGAATTTCAAATTGAACTGGTCTGTGAGATTGTTGCCAAGTTGTGTGGCAAGCGAGGCTTGTTTGGGACATGGGTGGGTATTAAAAGTAATTGTTAAAACAAACAAATTAAATTTTGCAACAAAGAAAACACTCTCTTTGTGGTGTCAGGGCACTTGTCTTCTCCATTGGAATGGGGCCTTGGATCTGGTGGGTGTCTAGAGTTCCTAAATTATGAAGGAATGAGCTTCCAGGTTTCTAAGTACCATTGCAGCATTATCCTGTCTGGATGGGGCCGTCGGGGTGGGGTGGGGTGGGGTGGGGTGGCGGGGGTCTCGGTTAACCACGTCTCGACCAAACCGCACCAAACTGAACCAACCCAACTCGACCCATCAAAAAATCAAAACCAACAAACAAGCATGTAAGCACGCCCAACCATGGAAATGGACAGACACATACGAAATCCAAGCATGAATGAAGACAAATCAAAACTCTGTTAACATCTACTCAACCAAACCCTAAACCCAACCCAACCCAACCCAACCCAACCCAACCCAACCCAAACCCAACCGAACCCCAAACAAAACCGCAAACCAAACCAAACCCAACCCAACCAAATCAAACCGACAAACAAGCATGTGTGCACACCTGACCATGCAAACAAATGCAGAGACACATACAAAATCCAAGCACGAAGACAAACCCCGAACCTGAGGGAAAACAGGGAAGCACCGTCAACTTCAAGCCCCTTTCAAAGTTGCTGTGAAAACCCTCATAAACTAAACCCTAAACCCTGAGCCCTAAACCCTAAACCCTAAACCCTAGACCATGAACAACTGATTCATCATCTCTCTCCTCCTTTCTGTCTGCTGTCTGTCCACCCACACCCATCCTGCCAGAGGAGTTACTTCTGCTTGGCGTCCTGCAAGCCAAACTCTTTCAGGATGGCAGCTGTCTCATCCCGGGCGCTCCCGGCACGAAGGATTCTGTACCTGCCCAGTTCCACAAGCTCGACAACTGTGGACCCCTCCCTCTCGCTACCGCTGCTATTTCCACAAATGGTACCCGCATCGAAAACATGAGTACAATGATGCCAGAGAGATTCAAACTCCATCACGCTTACGGGACTGAGCCCACCACTCACGTTCGCACTTGTCAATGCTAAGGCCCCTCCAAAACTTCTCGCCACGTCCCGGATAAAAGCCGTATCCGGTACCCTCACCCCGATCCCGGCCACGCCGGGGCAAAGAGAAGGATGAAGCCTGCTAAGGGCATGCCGGGGGAGTATAAGAGTTACAGGCCCGGGAAGAAGTTTCACGAGAAGACCCTCCGGCAAATGGCGAGTGTCCCCGTAGAAGGGAATATCCGCGACATTGCCGACACAGATGGCGAGAGGATTCTTCAGATCCCGACCCTTGATCTCATACAGCTTGAAGATGGCAGATGCAGACTGCGCGTCAGCTGCTAAGCCATACAACGTGTCAGTTGGGACCGCGATTACATCTCCCTGCTCCAGAGCACTCGCAGCGACACATACATTTTCCGCTGTGGCAGGCACAAGTTTTTCGTTTCTCCCTCTCATGACGAGATTTTTCGGCTTCGTCGATGCATGGCACGTTGCGCTCTCTCCATTTGCTGACAACTCCACGTTGGAATTCTTGCATTCTTCAGCAAAACCAGTCATCGTTGACGTCACCTCAACTGCCTGAGAATCGGAGGTTGTGGGACCGAACCTGGAACAGGATCTGCGCCAACCTCCGTTACACTTATTGTCCGCCTTGTACACATCAAGCAGATCCTGCGAGCAAAAACGCAGTTGCCGAGCACAGTGCCCGGAATGGGAGACAACTACCAGTAGCCTCCCTGTTAACCCTGCTGCATCAGCAGCAGCAGCTGCTACACGCTCGACGGTAGATAAAGATGCCGTCCATCGACGATAACCAGGCGGCAGGATCGACTCTGCCCTTGCCCTGCCTAGGCAAGGCAATATCCATCTCTCACACTGCATGGTCCTGCATCCTCCAAGATCTGAGGCTCTGCCAAAACAAAAAAAAAACAAAAAAAGAAAAAAAGAAAAAAAAACGGGAATGCTTTGCTCATTTTCGCTGCTTCACATCCTCAACATCTCCCTCTCCTTCTCCCCCCCCCCCTCCTTCTCTCTCTCTCTCTCTCTCTCTCTCTCTCTCTCTCTCTCTCTCTCTCTCTCTCTCTCTCTCGTGAGTGTGTAGCATGCATGTGTGTCTGATGGTGGTGTTTTTTTTTTACTTCTTTTTACATTTACTTTAGAAATTTGGACTGTTTTTTATTTAATGTATACTGCTGGTAATTATGGCCAGGTGACAAGACCCTGAACATCCATCCATGGGTGCAAAGTTGCAAACCATCTATCTGAGAGGCCAGCACATTGGTTTATCTGCTGGTAAACAGTAAGGCTCTTTTTTTTTTTTTTTTTTTTTTTTGTAAACAGTAAGGCTCAGAAGGATGAGAACCAATATTCAACATTCAGACTCAATACAGAACGATGGAGTAGAAACCAGACAGCTTTCCTCCAAATTCCGCTCAGGAGACACCCTAAGCATCACATTGAAAACCAAAAAAAGTTGATTGATCGCTTGATTGGTCGCTCCACTCGATGTCAACGGTCAGTTAGTTGATACCCGATTGATCAGTAAATTCAAGAACAATGAATTTGACTGTCTGACTTATTTTCATTGGTGGACAGACGGACAAGACTGACAGATCAACAGACAGACTGACAGATCGACAGACAGACTGACAGATCGACAGACAAACCAATTGACTGACAGGAAGACAGACAGACAGAATGGCAGACAGACTGTATGATCGAATGAATGTGACGGAGAGGCTGGTAATGACTGACAATCTGACGAAATGTGACTGACTTTTTTTTTTTTTTTTCAACCGACGAATTGTACTGGTGATTCAGAATAGATAATATATGTTTGTGTGTATGTGTGTACATGTAGATGAGAAAACTTTACTTGGGACTTTTAGAAATTCTAGTCGAATTTCAAGGATGTGTGTGTGTGTGTGTGTGTGTGTGTGTGTGTGTGTGTGTGTGTTTGTGTGTGTGTGTGTGTGTGTACATGTAGATGGGAATTTGGCAGATCAGAAAATAGGAGATAAAATTGTGAGTTTATTTTTCCAAATTTGAGAAGCTGAAATTATAACTGTGTAAGCATTAGATTAGAGCAAGAATATAGGAAATTAGAAGATACAATCAGCAAAATCAATTTGAAAAGGCAGCCGACACGAAGAGCGCCACACATGTTCGCACGAAATTCTCCCTGCTCCATCGCCGCTGTCATTATTGCGCCGCTACCTGCTTCCGTATCTTTGGCCGGTGAACCAGCTCAAACGAACACTGGAAACCGCCAGCTCTTTTTGACGCTCCAGCTTGTAACAAGCCTCCCTCCTCCCACTCCGCATGAGAAGATGCTCCTCACTTTCTGCCCGCGCTGCCCAACCAACCTCCACTCGATTCGTGCAAGAGCATAGGAGCAGGGCCACTATCATGCCCAAAATCTCATGAAGACTATCCTAATCACCCCGACAGCCTCCCCTTCCTCTAGTGCGTCAACCCACGACACCACATAAACGAAGCACGGAGCAAGAGACCTCTTCAGCCGAAGCATCACGTCAATGGCCACGCCAGACAAAACCAACGGAACCTCGAGCCATCGCCTGCCGCCGTAATCCCCACTGCCCACATCAACTCCTCGATATTCCTCGCAGGGGGTCGTGCCGACAAGGCGTCACCAACTCACGAACCGGCCCATGTCGATAGCGGAGCGGCGCGGCGCTCCCGGTTGCGCCGCACCGCTGAGACTCCTGTAACTGACTGTGAGTCTTGTACTGACTGAATGTGGCTGATGGGACTGACTGACTAACAGACTGACTGAGTGACTAACCGACTGACTGACTGTGACTGGCCGACTGATGACAGGTTGACTGAGTGACTAACGGATTGACTCAGTGACTAACGGATTGACAGAGTGACTAACCGACTGACTGACTGCAATTGGCCCGACTGATGACAGGTTGACTGAGTGACTAACGGACTGACTCAGTGACTAACCGACTGACTGCCTGTGAGTGGCCAGACTGATGAGAGGTTTACTGAGTGACTGACGGATTGACTCAGTGACTAACGGAGTGACTGACTGTGATTGGTCGACCGATGACAAGTCGACTGAGTGACTAACGGATTGACTGAGTGACTAACGGATTGACTCAGTGACTGACGGATTGACCGAGTTACTAACCGACTGCCTGACTGTGAATGACCGACTGAAGACGAGTTAACTGAGTGACTAACGGATTGACTCAGTGACTAACGCATTGACTCCGTTACTAACGGATTGACTGAGCGACACGGACTGACTGATTGACTGACCGACTGACTGGCTTAGTGGCTTAGTGGCTGGCTGACCGACTAACGGATTGATTGCAACGATCCCTTCCGACTGTTGTTGCGGTGTCACTACCGCTTGCCCGACCCCCATGTCTGCTACTGCAGCTGGGGCCACTATCTTGCTGACTCGGAGAGTGCTACTCGATGGAAACGAGGGTGGAGAGATGGTGCCTGAATGGAACGACCGTGAAGAGGAAGGCAGCGGAGAGCCAGTGAATGGAGGCATCACCACTGTAGCAGCCAGAAAGGGAGACAAGAACTATGGAAAAGAAAAGAAGACGAAGAAAATAAAATTTTATTTCCACCCCATCCTCACCTAGCTACCGGACAGCCCTGGAAGTAAAAAATGGGCATAACCCAGGAAATCTGGCAGGCGAGGATGGACAAGGGCCAGTGCCTGAAGTGCCTGCCACACGGATGGGCACATCATAATATGGTGTCCCCAGATTTGGAACCCAAAACTATTCCGGTCTGAATACAGTCATGATGCTGGGGAATTGTTTTCGGAGAAAGATGATAGTACACCAAACTGCCCGCACGTTACTATATGACTGGCCTGTTTATCGTCAGCAGATAGTCTGCTCTGCAGCCTGCAGTTAGTATTATAGTCTAAAACTTAGTTTGCAATTGCCATGCAGCTAGTCTGCAGTCTGCAGCTATAGTCTAAATTTAGTTTGCAATTACTTTGCAGTTAGCCTCTGCAGTTAGTCTAAATTTAGTTTGCTATTGCTTTGCAGATAGTCTACTTTATCTGAAGTCTGCAGTTATAGTCCAAATTTAGTTTGCCGTTACTTTGCAGATAGCCTATGCAGTTAGTCTTATATTTAGTTTGCCCTTACTTTGCAGATAGTCTGCAGATATCCTTAACGCCTGTCTCTTATACACATCTAGATGTGTATAAGAGACAGCTAATATGGTGTCCCCAGATTTGGAACCCAAAACTATTCCGGTCTGAATACAGTCATGATGCTGGGGAATTGTTTTCGGAGAAAGATGATAGTACACCAAACTGCCCGCACGTTACTATATGACTGGCCTGTTTATCGTCAGCAGATAGTCTGCTCTGCAGCCTGCAGTTAGTATTATAGTCTAAAACTTAGTTTGCAATTGCCATGCAGCTAGTCTGCAGTCTGCAGCTATAGTCTAAATTTAGTTTGCAATTACTTTGCAGTTAGCCTCTGCAGTTAGTCTAAATTTAGTTTGCTATTGCTTTGCAGATAGTCTACTTTATCTGAAGTCTGCAGTTATAGTCCAAATTTAGTTTGCCGTTACTTTGCAGATAGCCTATGCAGTTAGTCCTGTCTCTTATACACATCTAGATGTGTATAAGAGACAGGTGTGTGTGTGTGTGTGTGTGTGTGTGTGTGTGTGTGTGTTGTTAAGGCACCCCAACGTGTGTGTGTGTGTTGTTAAAAGCACCCCAAATTATCTCTCTCTCATTTCCTCCACAAATCATAACAAACCATCCATAACGAAAAAGTATAGATAGACTATATATATAATAGAAAATGCAAGGTTGGCCACATTTGTGTGGTTCAGCACCAAGTGCCCACACACCCGTCTGCTGCTGAAGCGGCACACTTTCACATATACATATATACTTATATTATTTCATAATCCATAAAAGGGCGGAGGGCAAAAGGCAACTCACCTAAGACAGAGGACTCCACCAGCAAGAAAGCACCGACCCCATCCGCCATAGGTCCAAAAAAACTTGGGAGAGCCCTCCACGTCGGGGCCCACAAAACCACAAACTTAATTAGACAAACCCAGCAGCATAACACAAAAGGCTCCACTAACAGAAAAGCACCGACCACACATGCCGATGATCCCAAGACATTGTAGAGCCCTCTGCAACGGCCTACAACGCCACCGCAAATCAGAAATACACCCGCAGGACCTGTACGCAACACCAAGAGTGTCATGAACCTCCCCCTGCCGCGCAACCTGCAGAATCGGATGATGTCCTAGTGCTACAGCGAGGCCACTGCAAGAACTATGCCAAATTCCACAAAATCTCCACGCGACACAAGGAGATCTACTGCTTAAGAGCACCCCATTCTTCCATGAAGGAGATCTACTGCCTAGAAGGCACCCCATTCTTCCATGTGCTCCGAAAGAGCAGCCCGCGGGAATGACACCCACAGCAAACACTCTCTGAACCTCCTCGCAGAGATATTGTGGCCAAAAATAAAATAAAAACCCAAACTCCCACCCCAGAAAAAGAACTTGTGGCCACCCACAGACATTACTTCATCCACAAGACAGCCCATGCTACAAAGCAGGGCAAAGAATTAGGCCATGTATAAAAAAAACAAACCAACAAAACAAATACATGCACAGAGAAAGAGAAGCTCACTAGTACGAGCCCTATCGTAACCGCTCAAATCTGCCAAGACAGAAAGCTCTGTGTGTGTGTGTGTGTGTGTGTGTGTGTGTGTGCCTGCGCACATGAGAGAAAGAGGACCGTTATGGCAAAAGGGCTGTGGACATGGGAGTAATTTGTGACCACCTGTAGTTGCGTATACCACCAAGTTTGTCGGTCACAGAATTACGGCCATCGGACGAAGTACAGCAAGAAAATTTTTATTTTTATTTTTTATTAATTACCTTTAAGACTCTGCCGGTCTTGTTAGGGAGGGTGATATGAGCAGCTCCCCCTACTAGGACCTTTCAGGTCCCTCCATCTATCGGCGGGGAGCTGCACCTGCTGGAAACCGGGTCCCATGACCTCTTCAGCGTACCAACGGGCGCCAAGCATGCCTAGGAAGGTACATGAGGCCAATGAGAATGGAATTGAACCCATGACCTCCTCCTGATCCCACTTGGGTGCCTACCAACTGAGCTACCGTCTTCACCCGAATAAAACGCCCGGTAATTATAGCTGCATCTGGACGGAAAGTTCTGCCAGATGCAGCTATAATGACCGGGCGTTCTGTTCGGGTGAAGACGGTAGGCCGCTGGATCTTACCGTTTTATTTGTGGACAGCAGGCCTTCGTTCAAAAATAGTTGTCTAAAAAAAAAAAAAAAAAATAGTCGTCTTTCCTCCCAAGTGATTAGTTATACTGCAGGTAAGTAAGCTCCTTGTCCGCCACCTCCTCCTCCTGCTGCTCACCTGGATGAATCTACTTGCAATCTGAGCCAGATTCATTCAGAAAAGTTATCGTCTTCCTCGCTCTTATTCGTGACGATTTGCCCTTCGCCGTCTTCCTGGTCGTTCTCTTGGCACTACTGCCGTTAGGTGATACTCGCACGGGAACTCTTTTATGAACGAATATGGCTCGATTTACGTGTAGAGTCAGTCGAGAAATTCATAGAGTCCTAGTGTGAGTATGCCCTTGCTGGCGTCCACCTCCTCACACCTCCTTCGCCCACGTCGCCTTTCTTTTCCTCCCTCGTCCCTCTTGATTATTTTGGGCCTCGCCGTACTACTCAAGAGAAGTGAAAAATGGCGAGTGCAATTTAACATAAAAGGTGGCAAGATGCATTTTACAAACAGTGATGAATGTACCTTGCCACCTTCTGTGCGAAGATACGCTCACCATTTTCCAGTTTTCACGTTTCGTGCGTGCCTAGTGCGGCGAGGCCCTTTGTTGTGCCTGATAGCAAAATGATGACAACCAAGCGTGGATGGAAGAGGGGAGAGAGGGAGGGGGCAGGGGAAAGGGAAGGGGAAGGGGAACGGGGGAGAGAGGGAGGGGTAGGGGAAGGGAAAGGGGAAGGGGGAGGAAGGGAGAGGAGAAAAGAGGGGGGCCCAAGGGAGAGAGGGAAGGGGGATGGTGATAATCCACGCGTGCCACCGGACGCGGTGGTGGGATGACGATGACGACCTGGAGAGTCAGCGATGGCGGCGGTGAACTGCGGAGTTACAAATGTTGCACAGAAGCAGACAAGAAGAGGACACGGGGGAAGAGGAGGAGGAGGAGGAGGGGAGCTGCGGTCGATGGGAGAGTGGAGTGAGAGTGGGAGGGGGAAAAGTACAAGGGTGTGACTTTGAAAATGAGGTTCACTGCAATGGGCAACAAGTTCATCATCTTGCTCAGGACATTGGATTCTCCTCCTGTTCTTCTTCTTCTTCCTTCAGCTCCTCCTCCTCCTCCTCCTCTGGGTCCACCTTTTTTGTTTGTTTGTTTGGTTTTCCCTTCCGCATCCACCTCATTTCTTTGTGGTGTTATTTTCTGGTTGTGTCGTATCCTTAACTTTCGATCTGTTTCCTTTAAACTAAAAGCGGGATGCTCCGTAGTGAATGATGGCATGTACACGCGGACGAGCTCCTGCTTCTCTCACTCTCCTCCTCTCCTCTTCTTCGTCCTCCTCCCTCCCTTTCTCCTCCACCGGCTCGTCAACCCC